TGGCGAGCCGCTTTCAGGGCGGAAAAACCAGGCTGTGCTCCCGTGGAAGGGTGGGAGCGCACTGGTTCCTTCGGCCTCCAGGTGGCGCTCGGGCACAAATATGGACAAGCTTCTCCGCCTAGGGCGGAGGGTGGAAGGAGGAGCAGCCTCTTCCAGGGAGGGGAGTGGAAGTAGGCCCGCCTTAGCCTGAGCACCTAAGAGGAGTTCGCCTGTGCCCTGTGACCAGCTCCAGAGGGGCCAACATATCCACAGCCGCGAGTTTGTAAATGGATACGATCTGCCTCTCAACTCCTGCCTAGAATCGAGCTTCAGCCTGGGCTGTCAGCATGCAGGAGGCTCCGATGATGTATTTACGCCATCCTGGGGGCAAACACCTGGGTTAGGAAATGATAACGACGGGGATTATTGAACCCTCTCCTGCCGGAGATGGAGCAGGGGGCGCTGTGACCGGAAGAAGAGCTGTGCAGCAAGAGAGAGTCCAAGCTAGAAAACTTATCAGCCAGTGTATATGCCGTTTCTGCTCAGAGAGCCTTACTAGGCCAAATGGAGACTGATCCCAGCATGTCAGTAATAGGACCATGGAAACTCACTCTAGCTCTTCTGGGGGTGTTCGTGACTTGGAGTGAAAGCTTCTATCTCCTCAGGCAGGCTGCAGCAGTACCTGTAGGACATGTAAACGGCTCTGGCAGCTGGAATTGCTGAGGATGTTGCCGATGGAGGGTCCCTGGGTGCTCAGGCAGGAAGAGCCCAGCAAAGTTACATAAGAGTTGAGGGGCTAAGAGGGAGAGAAAAGGTGGAGGGGAGTCTGGCGGGAGCAGCTCCCAGTGCTCAGTGCCCAACATCTGGTCCAGCCAGATGCAACGGGAGAAAGTGGGGGTTAGGAACTGTGTCATCGCCCATAGGGAATCCCGCTCTGCCCACGACTTAGGGAGGGGAATGATGTTAACATTATGCTTTTATTTGTAAATCAGGAGAATACACTGAGCCTAGTGGCTGAGGCCTGGTGATACATTTCTAAAGTTCCCCAAGTCATTATTTTCCCGTTGGAAAGAACTTAGACAAGGAATCTCAGGGATGGTGCTGTAGCTCAGTGGTAGAGTGAGTGATTAGCATGCTCAAGGGCCTGGGTTCAACCTCAGCACCAAAAGTCTCAGGTTTTGCTAAGTTATATGGAGGGTTTTCAGGTTTAGGTAGGGACCAAGGGTCTGGGAACCTCAGTCTGGCCCATATCTGATTCTATGCATAATTCTCTCCTGACTCAGCAGCTAAATCTCAGATGAAAATGAGGCAAGCTTTGGGAGTAGTCCCAGAGAGCCCTGAGGATAGCAGGTGTGTCGGATTGATAAGTGGCAGGCACCTTGTAACACCCAGCTGAACTGAATCAGCATGGTGCTGGGTGTGGCGGGCCCACCTGAGGACTGTTGTCAATAGCATAAAAAGCAGAACTGGAGAGGAAGGAAAGGGGTGCTGTAGGTTCTCCTGGGGGAGCTTGTCACACTGGCTTTCCTGATATGAACTTGGCTGTTCTCATCACTGGAGGAGCTTGAGACCTCACTGTTCACTTTGGGGGAGCTCTGGCCCTTACTTTGAGTGTTGCTTCAGAGCAGATCCCTCAGCCTGCTGGCACAGACTTTCTAGCTTCCACCACTGACTTTGGGGCCTTCTCAGCACAGATCTGTGAAACAGATTAGTGTGACACATTGTCGTGGGCTTGAGGTCTCTGATTGGACTCGTAGAGGGCATTGTCATGGGATCCAGGTCCTCAGCTGGATTCTTTGGGCCTCTAGTGCGGGGACGGATTTCCTGCACTCTTTTGTATTTGACTCTTTGGGTGACTACTATAAAATAATCCTATAAATTATGTGCCCTGTATTAAATTGTTTCCCTTGCGAACCCTGACTACAACAGCAGGTATTAGCTATGGCAGGTGAGGTCCCAGAAAGAGAGGCAAATAGGACTGGACATTGGAGAGGGAAACAAGACCATGTGGTAAAGGGCACTGACAAGGGACTCTGTGACCCCTCGATTTCAATATGCTTCCAGCATAACATATCCTCATTGCTAGTATTACATTTATCCAAGAAGAAAGATAATTGTCAGAAATTTGGCTGCAACACTAGTTAGCATTTGGGATGTATTTTTTCATTCACTTATTGGGCAACTATCATATGCTTTTTAAAAATGTGCTGGGGATTGAACTCGGTCTTGTGCATGCAAGGCAAGCTATATCCTCAGTCCTACTATCTACCCGGGATGTGATGATAAAGAAAAAAAATGGCTGCTGTAGTGGATTGGTCAACTCATAACCCCCAGCTGAACTGAGTGAGCGTGGTGCTGGGTGTGGGAGGCCCGTCTGAGGACTGTTGCCAGCAGCATAAGAGGCAGACCTGGAGAAGAAGAAAAGAGTCTTTGGGGAACTAAAATGGCTGTTGGGAGCTCAGAGAGGCTGTCGGGAGCTGGTAGAAACTGTAAGGAGCTGTTGGTTGTTTTGAAGGAGCTCGTCATGCTGGCTTTCCTGATGAACTTGGCTGTTTTCATCCTTTGAGGAGCTCTGGACCTTGTTGGC